TCACCGTATCACCTTGTCATTGGGTATCATCGTTTAGCAACTTAAATCCCGTACAGACTTGAACTACGAACACATTAAACTTCTATATTCTCCGCTGCACTTTGGCAGCTCTTACCGAACTATTCTGATGGCCACGCAATCAGTGAGCCAGAATATTTGCTGACAAAAAAGAGTTTTTTTTATTGATCCGGCTTGTGGCCTGCATGTCACTAGCTGATGGCACCATAGGCCAGAATTGGTTGCTTCAGTACACCTGGTCCTGGGCGATAAAAATTATAGGCTCCTTCTTCTGTTCCATATACTTTTCCTTTATTTGAGCCGTTTCCTTCTTCTGTCTACCTAGGAGAACATTCTTAATTCAAGGTGTAAACCTAAACATTGACTTCTCTGGAAAAATAGGCTTCAGTGTTTCTCTGTGCTGCCTGATTTTACCTTCAAGGGAACAGGAATACTACGTACATGAAGGAAAATAAAGATTTTGACCTTTAATTAAGCTCAGAAATCAGGAAAGAAGTCCTTTTGCATATCTCTAGGCTGCAGTTTTTGAAATGTTCTGCCGAAAACTTCCACTAATTAAAAGTTTTCTTCCAATGATAGAGTTGATATAAAAAAAACTAGCGACGCATTATTTGGTCATTCTCAGACTTTTGATCTTCTTAATTGCAGTCGACTCTGTTTGGGTTCTACATAGAATCAACATGAGGATGTTCATTTCCGTGCTACTGGCCGTGTGGAATCGTAAATTTGCAAAGTTTTTATTCCTTCTAAGCTCTTTAGTTCGCGAAAGTACCAGTGTAGGGAAATGGCGTCGGCAATCAGGCTAGCCCAACGTATTGCATTTAATACGCAAGCGAGGTATACGCCCTCTTGAGCCGTGCATTTTAAACTAAACTCGTTCACTTTGCGCTCTCTGATTTTTGCAGCTCCTCCTCTCTCCCGGGTGCTGAAAGGATTGGCGAAGGTGAGTTCTTGATTTAAAAATAAACTTATTTTGGCGTTCTGTCTAGGATCTGTATCTGTCGTCTATGAGTTTGGTTAGGAAGTGCGTCAAGCATGCGCAATAAGCATACCAGTCTTGCTTTTTGGTGATCGACAACTATGGGGAAAACCAGAAGGCTCCATAACTTTGCTGGTTGTAGACACGTTTCACTGTAGCCTCCTGGTAAGCAGAATCGCGCAATACCAACCAACGGTGACGCAAATAAACAGACTGCCCTAGTACTTTTTAAGATGGCCCGAAGGGCGACGCACTACATATCGCTAAATGTTCGCATGTGGTATGAATTCACCATGCTATGGAACAGTTATTAGTGTCTAGTGTTTGTGTGGGACAGCAAATAATTACGTCCCTGCCCAGGCGCGAACTTCCGGCGTCTGCAATTCGCTTGGTGGCTCAACTCGCGCTTTGCCCGTAATCCAACACTGACGCTGAAGATGGCGATCGCTGTTGGACTCAGACTCGCCACCCTGAAAATAAGACATTCAAAGCTAATGCGCGTTCAGTTATTGACTTGCTCGAGCTACTTCCTGCTATTCCCGTGTGTCTTTTACGCCTTATAGCAGCTGACCACATATGACTGGGGGATGTAAAACCACTGCTATCACTGAACATTACTCCTCTCCGTTGCTATTCCTATCAACATTATTTTTACTCTGTAACCCTCGGTGCCGAGCAGTTCTCTCGCAACGCCTTTTTTCGCCCTGCAATTAGAGTAAATTGGTGAATACTACTGTCATCTGACATTCCATATTTCCGATAATAAGCAAGGCATCAGAAACCGGGCAATCCAAGTGTTCAAAGTGTTTGACTCGAATTATCAGTGACATTGTTAACACAGATTCGAATTTGGCGTACACCAATGCTTGTGATCCACCAAACACCGACTGATGACGACAAATAGTCAATAAATGGCCTTTTCCAGTGCCTCTTGATTACTTTTAGTTACTTATCATGTGATCATCCGTGTTGCTTACAGGTCCGGAGTGCCAACACACCAGGAAAGGGCCCATTTCTGTCACGCAGTCGGGGTGGAATAATAAACGCTTCCCTCGTGTGATAGTTTGCAGGTCTTGCGAACTAGAGACTATGGCTTGCTAACGCA